CCTACAATTTGAAATTTTATATAGCATTTCTCACAATGTGGTAGCCACCTATTTGGACTGGTCAATGCTACTAGATATAGGGACTTTTTCTCCTATACACACACACACATACATAAACATATGAGAGAAATGGGTATGCATGGTTCCAAGCACAAAGTTAGTGCTTGACAGTAAGCAATGTTACAGAAGACGCTAGGCGGACTAGGCATTTGAGCCAGCGTCTAGCACCTAGACGTCTAGGCGTATGCCTAGGCGCCTAAGTGTTTGGGTATTTTTTAAATTATTTAACTATAATAATTGATAAAAATATATATTAAATTCATATAAATTTGTAAAAAAGTAAATAACAATTCTATATCCACAATAAGCTATGCATACTTAAATGTCAAATAGCCAAAATAAAAACTGACAAGATTATAGGAAGAGCTAAGAGACCTAGGTGTTGGACCCGTCACCTAGAGCTTAGGAGATTTTCTATTTTATTTTTTAATTATAATAATTGATAGTAAAATATTAATGTTATAGAAAACTTAGATGCTAGATTAGTGCCTAGGCGGATTTCTTTCTTTATTTAAGTGATGGTCGAGAAAGTTTTGCAGAAGGTTGGAGGAGGTAGTGGAGGTGTTCTTATTTAGAGGTTAAACGAGTTTGAAGGAGGTTGCAGGACGTGGAGGCTGCAAAACAGAAAATCACGATCAAAGCGTAAATGGTACAGTCCACGTAAGCAGACAATGATTCCCTAAACACTCCCAAAATCTAGGTGGGCAGCCCAAATACCGCATAGGCGCTAGGCGCAAATAGGCGGACTAGACGGAAGCTTTTTAAAACAGTGATAGTAAGGTGACTCATTCTCATCCACTCATTTAAGTAGTCCCTACTTGAAAATAAGCACCCCGTAATTATCCAACCTATGTGAATATGTTCTCTCATTTAGGTAAGTGGATGAGAATGAACCATCTCATTACCAAGCACCAAGCTTGTATTTGGTACCGAACATACAATTCTCATCCACTCATTTAAGTAGTCCCTACTTGAAAATAAGCACCCCGTAATTATCCAACCTATGTGAATATGTTCTCTCATTTAGGTAAGTGGATGAGAATGAACCATCTCATTACCAAGCACCAAGCTTGTATTTGGTACCGAACATACAATATGTTCTCTCATTTAGGTAAGTGGATGAGAATGAACCATCTCATTACCAAGCACCAAGCTTGTATTTGGTACCGAACATACA